GTGGGGTAGTCTAGTAAGAGACCTCTTCGCATCCCAAATAACAGAAAGTGCTCTGTATATTGTTCCAAAGGAGCTGTGGATTTCAGTTCCCAGGGAGGCAATCTTCTGTTGTCTTGGACAACCAACCTTAGATATGCCTTTCTTCCTGTTACCCAACTTCCATAGGCTGTTCAGAAGATACATCACAACACAACCAATATCATTCTCCTAGCACCCTACTGGCCCAGACAATTCTGGTTCATAGAACTTACAATTATGTCTACCCACCCAGAATCTGCCCACTCCCAGATCTCCAAAACTAGGGCAGAGGGGAAATCAAGCATCCCAATCTGAGCTCACTCCATCTTATGTCCTGGTGTTTGGATGGGTGTTGGAAATAGAACACTTATACTCAACCCCTGAACTACAATCTACTGTCTGGCCAAATGGAGATGTGTTTTGTCCTGGGAACAACTCCAATATTCTCCAGTTATCTTGAGCATCCTGGTTATCCTAGACTGTCTCACATCACTGAAGATTTCAGGTCTTGCTATTAGTTTGCTGTAAGTGTTCCAGCAATTAGTAGGGATGTATGTGAGTAGTAGAGTAGATGATTAACCGATAAGCCTAGGCATTATTAATCTTCTCCACTACTCGCATTCCCCCCACTTGCTGCCTCTGTATCAGAGACAGCAAAGGGAGTAAGCAGGAGTTGGGGGAGCCGACATAAAAACTGGCTCCCCCCAGTACTGGCTCCGTGGTGCAGCTTGCCTCCCCAATACCCTGCACTGCTGCCTCTTGTCTACTCCATAGTCCCCAAGGGCAGGGGCAGCAGCCAGTGCATGCTCTTGGCCCCACTCCTACAGAGCCCCCACCATCCCATGCTGCTGCCTATCAGAGTCAGCAGCACTGGGGGGCAGAGAAAACTAGGGGAGGCTGCCTCTGTACATGGGAGGTGGGACAGGGGCTGTTCTGCAGGGGGCAGGGACCCCCTATGGACAGGAGCTGCTGCCAGTCACACTGCTGCCTCTGTATCAGAGGCAGCAGCACAGGTCGGTAGGCAACTGGCCTGCTAGCGGAACTGGTTTTGAAACTGGCTCCCCTCATGGACCGGCTCTCACCCGGCACCCAGCGCTGCAGCCTTTGACAGAGAGACAGCAGTGTGAGGTGGCAAGGGGCTCCGCAGGAGTGGGACTGAGCATGCACACAATGGCTGTTGGCCCTGCCCCTAGGGAGTATAGAAGAGTCAAGTAACCACAAAGATTTCATGTGGTTACTTGGCTATTCAGCTAACTGATAGCTAACATCCCTAGCAATTCCTCTCCACACTGCAAGGACAGTCTATATTGATTCAGCCAGCTATACTATGATTTATGAAAGATCTGGTCAGAATCTTCCCACCAGATTCTAAATCTGCATCTCAATGGGACCTTAACCTTGTCTGTCAATACTCACAGGTCTGCCTTTTGAACACATGGCAACATGTGCCATGACCCACCTGTCCGTGAAGGTGGTGTTGTTAGTGTTGGCCAGGAAGGTCAACAAATTCAGAGCCATATGGTAGTCTCTCCTTATATAGTGTTCCACATCAATCAAATAATACAATTACCTGTATATTTGCCAACCCTCTTTTCCTCTGAAAATGAGTCTTCATTTCCTTAAGGTGAAGCATGCGCAAGCATTCTATGTGCAAAGAATCAAACCACCCATTAAGAAATCACCAAAACTTTTTATCATTATAACAGAGAGGTTGCGCATGGAAGTCATATACTCCCAGAGGATTTTGAAGTGGGTTTCAGGATGCATCTCAGTATGCTACAAAATAGCAAAAAATTCTTTCCCTGCTGGTGTCATAGCTCACTTCCTGTGAGCATTAGCCTCCTCTGTGGTATCCCTAGCTGACATCCCTCTGCAAGGTGGCCATCTGGAATTTAATCAACGTTTGTGACACTATGTTCTAGTTTGTGCCTCTGCTATGTTTTCTATTGTGAAATAAAGAGTATTGCAAGCATCTTTGCTACCAGTTTCCTTATACCTGCCTCCAATTTGAGCATTGCAGTCACCCACATGTGGAATACATAGAGCGGCTGGCACTCAAAGAAGTAGTGGAGTTTACTTACTATAATTGCAAGTTCTTCAAGATATATGGCCCCTATCTGCATTCCATTACCCATCCCACTTCAGATCCTGTTTGATGGACAATAAGAACAGGAACTGGAGAGGCATCAATTATTATACCCTAAGTCAGGAGCACAAGGAGAGCTACTGCACATGTGTGGGCCAACAGACACTGCTTTGAAGAATTTTCAGGCTCAAGCATATAGTGCACATGCATATCACATGTGAAATACAGATGTGGACCACAAGAATCTGGTTACAGTAAGTATCCAACATTTTCAGCATGTGGTCCCCACTAAACATGGGTTGTAATTGTTTAATGACATCTCATATTGGTTCCACTGTGGGGTGATAGAGGACAGTCAAAGGTGTGCAGACAGTCAATTTTGTATTTTTGCCCTATATTGAAGCAAGCTCTTCCATGTTATTAGGGATGGTTTGTCCCATGAGGCAATCTATTTCACAGGTGGAGTGTCCTTGTTTAGTGAAGGTGATTTTAAGTGAGTATCCCATTCTCTTTGGAGAAAACTCTGTGGTATCTGAGTGTGTGACTTGTAGATAACAGCATTTTGGGGGCATCTAAGGTGGTTGCTGGATCTGTGGAGATAAGTGTGGTGACCCAGGGTTTTTTGTATATAGTAATTGTCAACTTCTTGGACACAGAGATCAGCTTCTGTAATGGACTCTTACACATGACTTGTCTCTATTATGACTGAGGGAATTGAAAAGGAAATCAGTCCTAAAGATTAAACTAAACTAGGAACAATTACTAGTTCTTTCTTATCCATCCCAAAGACCGTACAAAAAAAATGTAACTTTTTTTTTAAGGGAACCCTCAGGTCATGAAATTCTCATTTTTCAAAAAATAGAAGTGCATCTCCTCAAAGACAGCCCAATAAATTTGTGGACAACACTCACATCTACAAAGTTATCTTGTTTAAATAATGTTATAGATTTTCTCTCTGGTTACATATGAATGCAAAGGTGAAGTGGTAATAATGTTGCTATTTTGTTTTTTAATGTGGTTATAATTTTACTTCCTAAGGACCATTTTAGTTGTTAGGTATGTGTATCATTTTTATTGGAGTAATGCCTGAAAATCCCATTCTCCGATTGGTGCTTTTTGTCTAGGCCAGTGTTTCCCAATTTTATTTGGCCACAGAACCCTTTTAAACTCAAAAGAATTTTGCAGAATCCCTAATAACAGTCTAATATATGGAGCTGAAAAAGTAGACCACAAATAAGTAAGGATAACAATAAACTAATGCTAACCAAGGTCATGAGATCAACATTTAGTTTAATTTCACATATTTAAAAATAAAAAAAAAATTTTAAATCATAAAATGTTATTGTAATAGAATTTTCTCATCGAGCCCTTATTTTCTCTTTGTGGAATCCTAAGGTTCTACGGAACACCATTTGGGAAACACTAGTCTAGGCTCCTATACACAGTTATAACAAGCATGGGTAGGTCTTTGGGTGGGAAGAGGAGCAGCAGGGGCAGGGGGGAAAGAGGACAAGCAGGAGTGGAGCCCGAGGCCAGAGTGCTTCTGGAGGGAGGTGCACCACATCCTGTTTGAGGAAGCTTAGTCTCCTCTGGCCTATGATGTGGTCTTCCCTTGCATCCATGTTAGATGTGAATTTTAAGAAAGCTGTCTTGCCATTGCACTTTAAGTAGATTCCAAGTCCTACCTTGTTCTGATACTGCTTGAGAGTCATCTGAATGGAACACACATCTATAACCAGCTGAAGAAAAGATGGTTACTTACCTGTAGTGTTACTCTTTATCTTCATGATGTGTGCAGACATATAAGCCATAAACCCATACTTCATCAGCTCTGCATCAGAGTCTGAATTCTTGTCCTTCTATGTAAAGTAACTGAGAATTGGGGCAGCACCATCCAAGTAACCAGGGGAGGAGCTAAAGGCCAGAGGACAGGAGCAGTGCTCCATACATGTACTATTAGGCAAAATTCTCTTTGGTGCAAGCATGCACACCTGAAGGGAATATACACTGGCACCCACATCTCAGTGAACAACAGTTACAGCACAGGTTCAAAACACTCTTTTGCTTGGCAGGTAAGTAAAACTATTTTATTGTATAGCCTGGTATAGGGATTCCTAATCTTTCAGAGCTGCTGATTGTCACAGACTATTTTTGATGCTTTTCCCCAAAACCACTCACCCATGATTAGGCAGGGCATTATGAGGGCAGATTCTTAAAGGTAGACACTTAAAGATAGTAGGATTTCAGAAGTAACTGTATGCCTAAACCCATTTTAAAATCTGGTGCTAGTAGACTAAACTCAGGACTGAAATGCATGAACTACATTCTAATCCTATTTCTCATGACTCACTATATAAAGGTTGAACCTTTCCAGTCTGACACTCTTTGTTCCAGCAACATCCATGGTCCCACATGATTTTAGTTAGATGGATGTTCACTTATCATGGGAGTGGCAAGTTTACTGCAGGCCTATAAAGATTTTTTTATAGCCATCAATCCTAGCTCTCAGTGTTCTGTGCTGTTATTTAGCTCTAATTTATCATAAATGTTTTCTGAGAGCCCAGTAAGCAGTAGAAGTGTTGATAATGCTGCTAGATAAATACTGACCTCCTATGGTTCAGCAAAATAATTGTTTCAGCACCAGTTAGGTCCCCAGAGTACCGTATTAGAGAGGTTCAACCTGTATCTCCTTAATGACTATTAGAATCATTATGCAAATTAGGCATTGAGATTAATTAACTGTTTATATAACACAATGAAGTTAAATAATTATGTCTACTATTTTATAATGCAGTTATAATTAACTTTATGAATGGTGCAGTGCAGTCATTTGAGATTTTAATTTTTTTTTCATTTCATACATAAAAATAAATTAACATCCATGCTTCTTTTTCAGCTTATCATATTGATAAAGTAAAGATTAAAGGGTATTATGCATTTAAACTGACTGAAGAAAAATCAAAACCCAGATTTGGATTCTTCACTTCTGATTCAAGAGCCAAGCCTTCTATACAAATTTACAATAACCTGATTAGCAACAATGGCTTTCCTGCAGAGTATTCCCGTGAACTGTGTGATAAATCAGATGACAAAACACGCTGTAGCTTCTGCTTATTTCTCTCACAGAAGAAGCCTCTGATATTCTTTGGCTGCTGCCTTTTCTCTACTTTTGTCCTGCTTCTAACAATTATAATTTTTCACAAAAGAAAAAGAAGAAAACTGTATAGGACAAAAAACTTCAAGGACATCTGTTTCCCATTTAAAAGGGGACACAAAGCCACTCTCAACTAGATTCATCACTATCTGCTTTCTGTATAGTATAATGGGGATGGGAAAATTACTGAGAAGCACTATGTGAGTCACTCCAGTTATACACACCAAGTAACATTCAGTGGAGAAATCTAAAATTACACACAGGGAGAAGAAAAACTGTGATGGATACCTGTGATTTTTACCTAGCTTTTGAAGCAAGTTCAATGCTTTCTCCCTGTGCCTTGGAATATTCTGTTAACTAGTTTGACTTTAAAATATATTAAGCTGTGAGAACTAATCTGCACTTTACACACACACTCTCACTCTCACTCTCTCAGAAATTTTTGTGATGGACATTCAGATATGTTTGGTCATTGATAAGTTTGTTTCTGCAGCTGTTTGCAAATGTGACCGTTTTAAAACAAGACCAGTTAATCAAATTCAACACCCAAGGATTAAATAGTTTGGATCCAATTCTGGTTTTAGTTCCATAGGCATAAATCTGACAATCTTCATCATTGACATAATGGAGACTATTAAAACAGGCTATTAAGACATCACATAAAATAGAGATGCACTATACATCATATGTATTTATTTCTGGAAAATGTGCAAACTGTGAACCTTCTGTACTCCTGGTAAACTGCCAGTGAAGCCCTCAGTGTTGCAAAGATTGGGCAGCCTCTTATAAAGAAGTCTATTCTCTCAAGAATTCTGTACTCTATTAAAAATTACATTTTCAGACTATTAGGCATGTCTTTCAAATCAAGCTTATTTTCACTAAACCTCTTGTCCAACATATTTGTGTTTGTACAGATTACATATGCATCCTATAATGTTCCTTACAAACAGCATTGTCTGTGTCAAAGCTTCAGCACTCAGGCTCAATTAGGCTATTGCTACACTACAGAGTCTTTGGCATAAAAGCTCCCCAATATAAATGCATCATATGCAGAAAATTTTGTGATGTAGAAAAACCATGGCCCCCCATCAATAATGAATTCTGCTGCCAAAAGCAGTCTTTTGTGAAAATAGCTGCGTCTATTCAACGTTGTTGGGATTTTATCACAGCTGAGTCAGTCAGGGGGGTGTTTTTTCTGTGCCTTGCCAACAAAGAAGTACTTGAATTTGCACTAGAAACCAAAACACGTCCCTTAGTTAAATGTCGATGGATATTAAATGATACTCTTTTTGGAAACCGGTGGTTTTGGTACAGCTAGTCTGTTGTCTGGATAAGTATACTGACTATGCTAGCATGGAGTCTTATATACCAATTGTAATTCTTGGTCCTTCTGCTCCCAGAGCAAATTTGGGTTCTTTGCTGTCCAGAATTTAAACACCTCATATCTCAACCATGCCTCATCCCCAGTACATGGCATGTGCTATGCTATCTAAATATTAAAATATAAAGATCTCTCTCCATGGATTCCTTTCACATTGAACTTGCATATAGATAAAAGGCTAGTATACAAATCTCTAGTGCAGTTTTCTCCAACCCTGGCTTCCCCTGGCACAAAAGGGTGAACATATCTACAGACTCCCCTTTCCAATTTTTCTCAAGTGTTTCATAAATGGGCACCAAGGGATGTACCAATTCCTGTATACTGTACATTCTCATGCTCCCCCCACCCTTCTAAATAGATGTGGCCTTTAAGAGTTTCACTGTGTTTAGGAATGTACAGCCTGCTACCTCCTGGGGAAGGGTGGAAGCACCAGCTCCCCTCTATTTCAGTCTAAATATGTCATGGGTACATTGCCCCATTCAATCCCTCTTTCAGTCACCTCCCTCCTCAGCTCAGAGACATGCTTCCCCCACACCTGAGCCTCATCTGCCTGAGGCAAAGTTTTGCACTACCCCAGGTGGAGGCAGAGCTGCAGCTCTGAACATGGTGCCTACTGGTGCAGCCCAGGGAGGCAAGCTGGGATGCTTGAGTATTCCTACAGGGAGCCTCCTAATTGACCAACAATGGTCAAATAAGAGGATCCCTTCAGATCACCCTTCCTCCATATTGGCCTCTGAGCCCAAGTCTCCGTTCCCAGGCACCCTGTGCAGTGCTCCCTTAATCAAACCTCCTCCAACAAAGCCACAATACTGATACCATCACCACCTGCTTCAGGCTGCACAACCCTAGCACTGAGCCCAGCTCTGGTGTGCCTGCCACCTTCAGTGGCCTGTCTTGACTGTTGCCACTACCATCCAGCCTCAGGTGCTCACCACAGGAGTAGGTGCTGCTCAGTTACAGCTTTATCCCTGCCCTTCCTGGAGGCAAGGGTACGTGAGTATTGTAATTGGCCTAGGCAGCTGCTGCAGTACTACAGCTGAATTCTCCTGCAGGACCCTCTTCTAGGTGTTGCTTCAACAGCCAGCTAGCCACACAAAAAGATGAGTAGACTATAAGGAAGACTTTACATTGAGAAGGGGATGCCATGAGCCAGTTGCATGCCACGTGCCACTGTCTGGCCAAAGGAAGAAAAGAAGCACTTTCCAGCTGTTGCACCAGAGACATAGTGGTCTCTCCCTGCCGCCTCCACTATTGTCCCATTCAGTCAACAGGAGGCAAAAAAGCCCCTTCAGAACCAGGAAGGCTCTGCCCCCCTAAGACAGGAATGGAGTTGGAGGTAATGAAATTAACATTAACCCCACTTGTGTAGGCATGACCACATACATATATGGATCATTAGGGATGTAAGAGCTCATTTAATTGGTTAACCAGTTAACCTAGTAGTCACCAACCAGCAGATAGTGTTCTACTGGTAGATCTTTGAGCCTTTGACAGGTGATCCTGACAGGTTTGACCAGGAGACTGTAAAGTGCCCCTCTAAGAACTGGCATGTTGCTCCTGCCCTCTGCTTTGAAACTGTCACCCAGTCCCAAGAACCTCTTGCTTGCTGTGCAGAACACAGGAAGAGGAGGTACTAATGTCAGGGTGCCCCTCCACCCTTGTACCCCATCTCTACAGAGCAGAGGGGGGCAGGGATGGAGAGAGTTTGCTGGCTGCTTTTGGAAGTGGTGCAGGGCCAGAGTAGGGGTGAGCCTGCCTTAGTCCCCTGCACCACCACCCAGGAGCCACCTGTGGTAAGCGGTGCCCAGCTGGAACCTGCATTCCAAACCATGGCCCCAGTCCTGAACCCCTCCTGCGCCCTAAACCACTAGCCTAGCTCTCTGTCCCACTGCTCCCAAACTCCCCAGAGCCTTCAACCTGAACCCCCTTCTGCATCCCAACTCCCAGTCCCAGCCAAGAACCCCTCCCACACTCCAAATCCATTAGCCCAAGATCAGAGTCCACATCCCCCTCCCCCCACACCCTAGCTCTCTACCCCCAGCCTGAGAAAATTGAGTTTGAGGGAGGGAGGATGGAGTGAACAGGGGCAGGGCCTTGTACAAGGGGCAGGAAAGAGGCAGGGCAAGGGTGTTTGGGTTTTAGGTGGTTCCTGGATGGCATTTAAATTTAAAAAGTGATCTCATGTTTAAAAAGGCTGAAGACTACTGAGTTAACCATTTAAAGGACGGGGGCCCTTCAGCCTGACATGGGGCAGCCCCTGCTTGCGGGCACCCATGCCTGCAATGGACAGAGGATGCTCCATCCAGACAGAACAGACCATCTGAAGTGGGCCTCATGGGGACAGGAGCCCCATGCCCATGGCGGGCAAGGAGTTGCTCCACCACCCCACCTGGGATGGGACAAGAAGCAGCTAGCAGGCTAGATCCAGCGCACAGCCACCTCATCAGCACCCTTTCCACACAGCAGCTTACTGCTGTTTTAAAGACCTGGTTGCTAATTGCTCTGCCAGCTGGGGACGCACAGAAGACTTCATGCACTGTTCCCACCCCCCAGCAAAATCCTTCAGTTCCTATTGGCCAGTTTCCAGCCAATAGGAGCTGAGAAATTTTACTGGAGGCAATGACAGAGCAAAGCCTTTTTCCCCTCCCCCTCTGTGCTGGAGCAGAGCCATGTGGAGCTGCCAGCCCAGCAGATTGGCATGGAGCCTGTTTCAGGTTCCTGCTGGGCTGATGCTGGGAGCCACCTTGGTAACCACCACCCAGCCACAGTCTGTCTAGCACCCTGTTCCCCTCCCCAACTACCTGCCCCAGGTCACCACCCAAAACTTCTGTATCCCCGCATCCCACCTCCTCCAGATCAACTCCCTCCCAGACTCTGCACCCCTTCTTCCCTCCTCCCCCAAGCCAGAATCCTCTCATGCACCCATACTCCCTCCTGGTCCCTACACCTCAAGCCCCTGATCACAACCCCTTCCTTCATTCAAACTCCATCTCAGACCCCACACTCTCTTTTGCACCCCAGCTATCTATCCCAAGCTCCCTTCTATACCTCTCCCGCAATCCCAGACCCCACATCTCCTCCACAGAAGTGCAGCACTTGACCACAAAATCTTGGGAGTGCCTCCCCATTAAAAATTATTAGCCACCCCTGGGTTAACCAGAACTGGTAAGCATCACCAGTATGAACAGTGATGCTTACCAATTAACTTATCACATCACTAATCATACGTTGTTAGGTACACTCACAATCCTATACTACATTTGAGGGCAACATGCCAGGCAAAGCCCCCTGATCAGCACTACAACTCCAATCTCTGGGACACTAGTGCAGGTAGGGTCAAGACATCCTTTCACACATCTGGGGAGGGATTGCGTGCATATGCTGAGGTATTTTTCTCCATCTTGGTGATACAGCAGAGAGCATGCAATACCACTTTCAAGTGTAGGAAGCAACTGGAGGAAAGACATTTCTGCTCAAGGACACAGAGGCTATGTCTGCACTGCAATCTTTCGGAAGAAGATTTGGAAGAGGCTTTTCTGACATTTGGCTGATCTACATAGGTAAGCCTGGGGAAAACCTCTTCCGGAAGAGTCCTTATTTCTCATAAAATGAGGAATATGGGGCTTCCAAAAGAACGCATCTTTTTTCAGAAACTGTTTCGAAAAAGCAGACCCGTTCCCTAGAATGCAGCGCGCACACAGCCAGAGAAAAGCAGCTTATTTGTAAAGATATTCTAGTTAAGCAGAAAAAGGGAGTACTGGCCTTGATACAATATCAAATTAGTAGATAGGCTTCATTTTAACTGTATTTAGTGCTCCAGCACCCACCAGGCTGGAGCACGCAAAAATCTAACTGGGGCCCACCTACGGCTCTGGTGTGTGAGGTGACTGTCTTTCTCCTTCTCAGGCAGGGGCCCACCTCAGGAAGTTTTGCTTCTTACTTGTGTACAGCTCAGACTGATTTTTCTGTGGATCAGCAGCCCCCAACCCAAAAAAGGTTCCTCATCCCAAAATTAAAGTCTCATTGCAAGACAATACTATTCTCAGCCTGTCCTCCTGCTAGTTTTAACATGCTCACATCTTCTATGATTTATTTCATAGGCAGAAAAGTGTTAGGGGAAGTTGGCATGTGGGAGGAAATGGTGGAGAATGAGTGCCTGCTCTGGAGGAATGAAGGTTCAGCATCTTTACTCTATGGGGGTTAAATTGGGGAATCTTACAATGAGTGGAGGGAAGAATAGAACAACCTCTAGTGAGGGCAATTGGGAGGCACTGCACAAAGAGCTCTTCCATGGGAGTCCCACAGAAACACTGTTGCAGGTACAGTAGGGAGTCCATGAAACAGCAGCACATATAGTCTGTACAGGGGAAGGGAGGATTCATGCAACGAACTTTGCCACCACATGCTACTAAATGTTCAGCCCCTACTGTCATCTTTAATCTGCAGTTTGCAATAGCTTCTTTATTCAAGTTATCAAAAGTTAAGGAACTGTCAAGGGTAACCAGAGAAAGATCAGTCTGGGATAGTAGCATAAAAATATTAGTTTGTTGCTTCTTCTGAAGTGGTTAGTTGTTTCTACAATTTAAAAATCTTTCAGAGTTATCACTTCAGTAACATGAACTGTACAGTACCCAGAAAAATCATTTCAGGCTGCTTTCTTCTATACTAAGATTTTGAGAGGCTATGAATTAAGTAGACTGCAAATGAATGGCAAAAAATGTACAACAGTATTCTATAGCATCTTGCAAAACTAACTTGGGGGGGAACTGCTTCTCCAAAGAATCATAGTTTAAGATTTTAAATAAATGAGAGAATTATTGCCATTATTTTTCAGCTCTCAAAAAAAAAGACAAAATGTGGAATATTTGTTTTATTCTTAGCATGACTTCCCATTTGGTACTTGTTGTATTAAGTAGAAAGTTAAAGATGTCCCGCTCATGGCTTCAGAATCTAGACAACTGTAAGAAAGAAGAATGTTAAGTTATAAACTATATACAATTTTAATCTTTATGATGTCAGCAAAATCCTCTAAAATCCTTTAGATATTACTGATATGTTGGCAAACTTTTAATATATTTCAAAAACATATCTGATAAATAGTATACAAAGCTATTCCAATTATTAATCATACTTGTGAAACTAATTTTAAATGCATCTTGAGACTTTTACACACCAAAATTAGTATATTTTGCAGACAAAAGAGAAATGTACTTGAATGAAAAAAGTTAATGGTATTAATTATTTTGTATCAGACTAATGAAAAGATCCCAAAGGAAAAGCTTGTAGCAGCATCTGAACTGGAAGTTTTCCACAATATTCAACTTTGTTTTATTGTTTGATGTTCGTCCTCTAAGTTACCAATGTATCAAGAACCGCAGTAGCCGAAAGTTAGTGCAAATATTCAAAGTTTAAAACCTTATATGCTCTTCAAGGGGATGTCATGTTGGTGGGTTTATCGCTACAGAATGGTCAAACTACTATGCAGTGAATATGCTGCTAAATCTTCTATCAATTCACTTCTGTGCCATCACCAGACTAAAGAGCTAAAATATTACTGCCAAATTCAAAGAAGTTTGCATGCCAATGCCTCAAATCAGAAAGAAATCTGAAGAGTGGCTCAAGAGCAGAAAAAAATATTGTCTGAAGACCCCAGCTACAGAATACCTAAGAGAGCAAAGCCCAGACCTGATCACCGCTTAGTTTCACCAATACAATTGTGTCAACACATCTGCACTAGCATAAAGGGGCTTTACACGATAGCATTGCTTATATTGTTTCCTGGATCAGAATAAACTATATTGTTTAAGCAATTTTGTATCAGTGGAATTGCAGTAGAAAACCATAATGGGAATTGTTGCTAAATGATATTGATAAGTTTTGGTGTTTTGAGTACATGTTAAGTGGACAAATCCCTACTAGCAAGTAAACTTTTCCTGTTAGATGTTCAAGAACACTGCCCCACCCACCCATATCTAGCATATTTTGGGAACAGGGAATAATAATAAAGTCTTTAGCACAAGAGTCTTACTAATCAAGTTACATACATACCTCTGAAGTTATAATAAAGAAATGTTACTGAATTAAATACTAACCTATTATATAGTTTTATTCATCAGCCTGCAGTACTGTTCCCTTCTCAGAAACATAGATACCGTCTAAGAATTTTCTGATATCCTTGTTCTTGACTGTAGTGGCCTGCTGGATCAAGGCAGCTACCGAAAAAACAAAACCATTTAAGATATAGCAATGATACCTCCCTAATACAGCCCCTTCTTATTTCAACTAACACAGAACCCAAAGAAGAGATGAAATAGCTAACAAGGGATATTGACAACTTGAAACGACCTTTAAGCAGCCTATATTTCAAATGACAATTTCTCTGAATGTATTTTACAAGCATGTTTTTCTGTTGCATAGAAGATAAAATAAAAGCTACATGGAGAAAGCAATAAATTTAACTAAGTCATATTAAGACACACTGACAAATAATATTTACGTCAGGAGTCAGCAACCTCTCCAAAGTGGCATGCCAAGATTTAACCCTCCTGCCGTGGGTCATGCCACTCTCCCGTGAGAGGGGCTCTCTCCACCACGCACCCCGTGGACCACCTGGGCCAATGCAAACCTTTACGTGGACTACCAGTTGCTAATTGAAATTCACAATTACATAATTATTCCCAAGCCATTTTTGTAATACTGCAGCTGGGGATAACTGTTCAATTTAAAATATTAAACAGATTAAGTGTTTTTCTCATGTTAGTTTATCAAACTTCATTTTAAATAAAGTAAAATATATCCAATACAAAAGGTTCCAATATTTTCTTCATGGCATGGGTGGGGAACCATTTTTGGGGATGGGGAGGGGAGGAGAATTACTGACCCACAGAAAAATAAGTTGGGGAGCCACACAAGTGAAAAGTGAAACAAGAAACCACCCACTCTTGTCGAGCCAAGGAGGGTGCTGCGGGGTCTCAGTTCAGGTCTCTCACATAGTAATAGTTACATAGGCTTCATTTTATAGCTTTGTTTCATTACCTTTATTTTATAGCAGCTGCTAGGTACTGAAATATATTCTGTATCGGTATTATAAGCTAGAAAAAAATTGTTTGAAATTGTCTTCAACTTTAACTTAGTCTGTAAGAAATGGTCTGTTCCTTTGCAAGACAAATTGCTTTCTCTGAAATGAGTGGTCCTTTGTGTGGTGAATGTGTGAAGGCAAGCAACAGAAGACTGCAGCACAGATGATTAGCATGGCTAACAAAGATATGAGATGAGGCTGGTCAAATTCAGAATGGCAGAACTGACCACTCTAAACAGCTGCAGTCACTCCCAGTATCTGATGGAGCATGATAACGAAAGCAGCTTTGAAGCAAATGCCAAATCACTTATGACACCTGCTGTTGCCCCAGCAGACAGCTTCTGTCTTCATACCACAGGAATTAGGGACACCTGGAGTACAGAGGTTCAGCTGTACTTAATTTCTAATGTTCAGAGACAGATTGTGTTTAAATATAAGAAGTTCCTGAAATAAATTGACAACTGCAAATGAAGTGGCTACTAATAAAGCATAAAGACATCTCCCTTTCTCCATAAACATTTAGTACACAAACCTGAGTTGGATACCAATTCAATATCATTCCCTTCAAGAATCAACTCATCCTTCTGGGCTTGAGATACTGCACAGGCAACACCTAAAAGAAAGTAAAGTATACATTCACATGTAAAAACAATTTATCGTAAGTCTTACTTTATGTAACTTAGCAACTGTTGCTTGAATGTTTGTTTCAGAAACCTTGATTTCATTTATAGAGCCATAAATAATTAGCTGCCCGTTATTTATTATAGTAGCATCCAGAGACAAATATTAGGACCCAAGATCCTCGTCAGCTGAGCTGCCACCTAGTAGGCAACATACTGGAACTCAAATCAAAACCACCTGAAATTAATAATAAATAAGGATGTTCAGTAGTGAGTAAATGACTAATTGTGTACTTGATACAATTTGTACTGAGTTCATGATTAGTTATAAGGATACACTGTGGCTCTGCAGTGGCAGTAGATCAAGGACCGGGCACAAACCAGGACTGAAGCAGTTCCAGCTCATGCAGAGTCTGGACTGCTGCAGCTCTGCCTTCCTTGCCTCTCCACCACAATGCAGAGACAGTACTCAGGGAAAAACGCTTTTAAGATGGCTCCCCCTAGCACCAGCTTCATCCCTCCTTGCTGCCTCTGATATAGAGGCAGCAACAGGGGCAAGGGATGGAATGCGAGTAGTCAACTCAAGTACCCAATACAATATTAAGCCAATAGTGTATTTTTACAAAACCTCTGTTTTGGATAACCTTACATCTTGGTGTCTGTTAGACTCCAAATCTGGTTGTACATTATTCAAGCTACTACTTGGGCCCTTCACAAATTGATGTTTAGTTTTGGACATGTCCAGTGATCCCTGTAAGTTGGGCACATGTGTGCCACTCAGGAGAAGTTCAAATGCCACCCAGCTGATAAGCAGAGCACCCACCACTACATTGTTTCCACTGCTAGTGCACATTCACACATGCCTCAGTGCATATAAAATTTTATTGTGTGTGGACTGAAAAAAATCCACAGAGGTGACTCGTGAGGGGAAGGAGTGGGGCCACTGGCCATGTGTCCCCCCAGCCAAGAGAGGGGTCGGGACTACTCTTTTCTTTTTCAGTCCCCGTCTCATCTCTCTCCACCCTTTCTCCTACCCAAGGTGGTCCACGAGTGGGGCAGCATTAGGAAAGGTGCAGCAAGGTGGCTCCAACCACACTGCTCTGAGGGAGGAGCAGGACTGCACCAGCACTCCTGGGAATGAAGCAGCGTGGGCAGAGAGCCTTTCTGCACCTTCCCCTCCACTGATGCCAGTGAATGCAAGGGGGGGGAAGAGGAAGAGAGACTCCTGCTGCTGGTACAGGTCTGCAAGTCCATGCCCCTGCCTCATACTCAGCAGCAGGGAAGGTGCAGGAAAGCCTCTCTGGCCATACTGCTTCCTTGCAGCGAGTGCTGGGGCAGTCCTGCCCCTTCCCTGGAGAGCAGTGCTGCACAAGCTAGAGCCTCTTTGCTGCACCTTCTCCACCAGCACCGACAAGCAAAGGGAGAAGGGGAGGGTGCAGTGCGGTCTCCTGCTGCTGGCACTGGCCCGTTCCTCCTACCTCGGGGGACGCACATGGCCAATGGGCACCCCTGCACATCTCCCCAGGGTCTGCACATGGATGGTAGACATGAGGGAGAACATTGGACATGTGCCACTCTTCTGCCCACCACAGAATCATGTGGCTCACTGAGATGAAGGAGGGCCACTCATGCTGCCCACTCACTAGTCTTGGTTGCCCATCACTGAATATTGTATAGAAACATTTTGAAATGCCGCCAATGGCAAATATTTAATCTCTGCAGTTAGAAAATGCAGTTAGAGCTCCATGTGCATTTACTGCCACAAACACATAACATGTTGATCAAGTAGAATAAAAATGTGCCAAAGGAATCTTGTTAAAAATTGTACTTTTAAAAAGATTTCCGCAAAACAGGCTGCAAACTAAACTTGACATTTGCATACTTAAACGTGAAATTCTTACAACTGTTAATTTTTCTATATTCACTTAAAGAGACTTAATGCTGACCCCCCTACATGCAGCTACAACTTTATCAGCTCCATCAAGAATCCTAATTTAATCTCCATTTATCCTGGTTTATTAACCGATTATGATTGCCAGATGCTGACCACTCACACTGAAATCAATGTTTTGCGAGCATCTAGCACTTTTGGAAGTCAGGTCATATGCAACGTCTTCTGTAAATGCTTCTTACAAAGTTTGTAAGATTGAAACTTTCTAGAAACAAGTTTGTTGCACCAACAAATATTCACGGCATTATCTTATAGCTTATAACTTAAGTTGTTTGCCTACCATACTGGATAACATGTTTTTGGGTTAATTTATACTAATTCATTACTATATTAATTGTATTTGGTATAAATAGAGTAGGTACTATTTAATCTCTAGTTCGGCACATTCTGGTCCAGCAACATCCATGGTCTGGCATGATTTTAGTATCGTGAATGTCCCCTTGTCATGGGTGTGGCCAAGTTTCACATGGTTCCATAAAGTTTTACAGCCACCACTTCTATTACTTTTCTGTGCTGTTACTTAGCTCTAATTTACTCTTAAACATCTTCTAAGTAAGCAGCAGAAGGATGGTAATACTGCTAGACAATACTGACCTCTTGTGGTTTAGCAAATTCTCTGATTCAGCACTGGTCAGGTCCGAAGGTGCCGGACTAGAGAGGTTCAACCTGTAATATGTTGTAGGTATTCATGGTATTAAGCCAAAATGCAAGAGATCCACAGGCTTGTATCCTGTATGAACAGCTAAAGCATATTTACAGGGAATATGCATAATCCACCTCTGTCCCAGATACAATACTTGCTCAAATATCTCTCAGCTTTAGGGGAATCACATAGAATAACTACACCTATTTTGAGCTGGATCACTCAACACCAGAATCAGTAATTCAAAAGAAAGAGCAAAGCAAAGAAATTGCTAGAGGAATCAGACGCAATGTTTTCAGGAATGAGATAATCCTAATGAATATGAAAGCATTAAACTTCATAGTCAACTGACCTATAGAGAAAGTGTACCATAAATTCTTAGGGTAAAGAAATAAAAAAGGGCCATGGTACAATGGGTCAGAATCAAGCAATGCCAAGACCCTATAAATATCCACGTTTTTAGTCTAGAAAGTTCTCTTTAAGGTCTAGTTTCCTAACCCTGCACCTCGCTGCTCATGCACTTAGATCAACTATTAGCTTAGCTTCATAGTATAGCTTTGCTGCCCTACCTACCTGGACATTCAACTTCCTTGGCACACCAGAGGGCAGGCTGGTCCTATGTCTCCTAATACCAGGTCTTCAAGAAGGGGATATGAGTATGCTGGGTTAAACTATTCTCTTATTTTGTAACGCTACCAGAGGGAATCTTTGAAGTGTGTATGTTTTAGCAACTATATGCATTTTGATGTTTTTTACTCTTTTACTTAGAGCTCACTTGTTTCTGGTCTGATGTGGACAGTGGCAAGCCATAAGCCCTAGCCCATCACGCTCAGATCTACACTTTCTACTTCAATTAGCAATGTACAAGACCTCTAACTATACTTACCTGGTCTCATGCGCACTCTGCGGATATATTTCTCTCCCAGGAAGTTACGGATTTCCACAAGTGATCCATTTTCCTGTATAACTACATTGATAGGGAAATGAGCATACACAGACCTCATCTTGTAACGAAAGCCCTGGGAGTAACCAAATAAAAAAGTATTACAAATGAACTTTAAAATGTCATAGAACAAGCAGGCTGCAAAACTAGGAACTATATTTAATAGCTACTGGACAAATATGATGAAGTGTTAGATCAGCTTTTGAAGAATTGAGTCTCAAAGGTATTCACGCTGTTGTACATAGCATCTTTCATTTAGCATAGCTAAAAAATTCTCATAATATCAGACAACTTCATTCTGAAGACTCAAATGACAAATATTCTGTTTCAAAATAAAACTTACCAATGTGACACCCTTGATCATGTTTTGAACATGGCTGCAAATTGTTCGAACTGTTGCCAGCTCCTTTCTGTTACCCCACCATTTGTCAACACGTAGCTATAATAAAAATTAAACCAATTATTCAGTTTCAATTCAGGATTAACATGTTTCCTATTGTAGAAGCTGTAGAAACCATTTTTATATTTAACTAGAAGCCATCTTGTATATCAGAAACCATTTCAGCTTCTCTCAAGCACGTAGACCAAAGTAAACTTTGTCACCCCGTAAAAAAAGGCCTACAGGATGGGCTATTGGTATGTGTTAATTGGGCTGGTTGGGACAGGAGATGTACTCCCTTGTACCTGTCCACCATCTTGTTAATAAGACTTTGTTTTTCCAAATGTAATTAAAGATTTCTGTAATTGGATGTCCTGACGTCAAACTGTTTGGCTAAGGGTATAAAAATACTAGAATTAATTGTATTAACAGCTTTGCTGGGACCACGTTTGGCTCATACTGTGCTTTATTAATTAATAAAGCTGTTTGTTAGCTGCCTAAACAGAGAGGAGTGATTTTTTGCTTCAACACTATAACGAATTACACTGGTTTTGGTGTAACTGTCAGCAAATCCATCTCCACATTTGCAAAATGGAGGCTTTAACACTTAAGAATGCAGGTGGAACCTCCCTGGTCTGGCATCATTAGGACCACTCTCAGAGTTTGCTGGACCAAAGATCAAGGCTCCCCTCCCAGCCTGCTCCCTGCCCCACAGTTCTGCTAGGGCTCCACTTCCCACAGTGCCAGGATTGTGCTCCCCCACCTTGCTGGCTAGTCCGCTGCCACCTGCCAGCCCTGTTCCTGAAGCTGGTCAGTTGGGGCTCTGTGGTCCTGCCAGACCACAGATATTGGCAGACCAGAGTCCTGGATAATAGAGGTTTAACCTGTATTGATGCAAAGTGCTTTAAAACACTCAGATGACAGATATGTATGAGTGCCAATTATTGTACATGGAAAGTACAGGGCAGTAAAGTGAACTTCCTAGCATTGGTCCATAAACTTTTTCCTGAATGGATTCTCCAGGTAAGAAGCTCATTTCCTTTTTATATACATTCCAATCTCTGACCTCTTCACACTGATAGTTATGGATAGCAAGTTTTGTGCTTGTTCATTAGCAAAAGTATTCACCAATTTTACATATCAGCAAGCAGCCCTGACAGTGGCATATTTCTTAATCTATACATTAAAACAAAAACACAGATGTGCTAAGCCATACTCTTCACCTCTCAAATATTTTATGTGGGTTTTAATTCTCATCTTGTCAAAAATTCATTCAAAAAATATTCAAGGTTAAGGAAATGTTTTTAGGGTGCTTTACTTAGAGAAACTTGGAAATATTCCTTCCCAGTAACTAGAATCAAGCTTTCTATCTAGCTTCCTTGTAATCACCACCAAAAAGAAACTGAACTTGGAAAGGAGTACATAATAAAGTACTAACGAGCACTCCTCCAAAGTCATGTCCTGCTTAGCATAACTGGAAGACACATTTCAAAGAGCAGACCAGGCAGATACAGTCATTAAATGACACATCCAAGACAATTTAACTCAGATGTACTGAGCTATCACAGCAGAAGAATTCTAGGTTACCTAGCTAGTTACATGTAGTTACAGTTTAAAATTAAATACTTTGTTATTTTGGAAACCAAAAGCCTTTCAGAAAATGGATTAGTTCATTCCACATTTCTAACTACATACATACCACAGAATGTTAACACTGAACCCTCACCCCTCCAAAAACAGCATGCCTAATGACAGACACTGTAATACCTGACTGCAGAGCAGAACTGAACCCTTAACACCCAACAAGTTCCAAGCCTCTTAGAAACTTGCATGATCCCTATCAGTGTAGCTGAGCAGCCCACAATCTTTAGTCCCACACCACCTAGTGAAGTCAGAAAGCACTGTTGTCAAAATAAACAGACAAAAACTGAAACAAGCACAGTTAAGTGACTTTCTAAAGATTACATAGGAAGTTCATGGCAGAGCAGGGTTCCAAATTAGTGCCCTAGAGACCCTGACTGTGCTCACCTTCTTGTGCTTCTTTCCCAAGAGGGAGAGTTCTACATTTATGTGGTTAAAATCTCGGCGCAGGGTTCCTCTGGGACCTTTCACAATAACTGTCCGGCCCTTCAGAGAAATGTCGACTGGAAGACAAGGAAAGCGAGTTAACGCGCGGCAGGACGAGCGCGCAAGGCCTACGTGGAACTAGCAAGGGGCTGTACCTTTCTCCGGGATGTCGACAGTCTGGTTACTGAGAATGGTCTTCATTCTACAACGACAAGCACAGGGTGAGGGCAGAGACAACAGAGAGGCCCCGCACGGCGCCTTGCCCAGCCCCCCCGAACCGGGACCACCCGCGGGCTGCGCCCCCCCCCGCCCCCCGCCCCTAAGACCCGCCCCGACAGCCCCCGCGCGGCTCGGGAAAAGGGCACCAGCGCCGGCTCCCGGCCTAGCTTCCCGGAGAGGGGGGGGTGACTGTGCTGGGGGCTTTCTCCCCCGGGCCGGGGCCAAGTGCCTCTCCGGGGCGGCCCCAACGGCCCTTAGAGCCCCCCCGGGCCGGGCCCGGCAGCGGCGCAGCGCGAGAGCGGCCCGGGGCCG